TTACTCCCCAACACTGATGAACACTGACCTTAACTGAGACAAATGAGGCCTGCGGTTCTTTGGATGTTGTTCTGGGGTCTTTTGTGACCTCTTGGATGAGTCTTTCATGTGCTCTTGGGGTAATATTGGTCAGCCTGCCAGTCCTAGAAAGGTTCACCACTGTTCCATGTTTTCTCCATTTGTGAATAATGGCGCTCACTGTGGTTCGCTGGAGTTCCATAGCTTTAGAAATGCTTTATAACCGTTTCCAGACTAAAAGACTGCATTTTAACTTTACTTGTGTTATCTTTGTCTAATATTAAAAAATTTTCTTAAGATCTAAAAAAGATAAATGTGAAAAACGTACAAAAAAAAGGTAATCAGGAATTGAGCACCTTTTCTCACCGCTAAATGTGAAATTTAGGAAATAAAAGTAGCCAACTACAAGCTTTTATTTTGAAGTCATATCCCTTCTTTCCTGTATGGACAGGAACTCCCAGCAGTGTGTGTGAGACTATGGGGAAGGCCGACGTGTGGCTCATCAGGACATTCTGGGACATTGAGACGCCACGGCCGACCCCACCAAACTTCAAATATGTGGGCGGTCTACACTGCAAACCGGCCAATCAGCTGCCAGAGGTGTGAGCTCTGATTGCACACACTTTTATTCTGAAATGGGATAGGTGAGTGTTGATGTAATGATGATGTCACATCTTCCAGGACCTAGAGGCATTTGTGCAGAGTTCAGGTGATGCCGGCATAATTGTGGCTTCCTTCGGCTCCATGGTAACCAACCTGACGATGCAGCACGCTAACATCATCGCCACTGCCTTCGGTCAGATCCCACAGAAGGTCAGAAGCTTCACCCACTCACAGACAAACAATCACGGACTGGGCTGTCAGCAGATATTGATTACATCATTGATTACTTTCTGGATTAATCATCAAAAAAATACCTGCATGCAGAAGAAGCTCAGATGGTTTGTTTCATCTTTGACTTGAGGAGTGTTTTCTTCCTTTCAGGTGATTTGGCGTTACCGTGGCGAGCCTCCAACTGCATTGGTGCCAAACACGAAGATTTCTGATTGGATCCCTCAGAACGACCTGCTGGGTATGACTCATTCATGATGTCATGGGATTTTGAAACAAAAGCCCAATGAGGCCTTTTATGTTTTTTTAACTTCCTTAACTTCCTCAGGTGGATTTTGATGTTCTTTCACAATAAAAGCTCTGCATTTGTTTGTCCTCAGGTCACCCAAAGACAAAGGCATTCGTGACACACGGTGGCACTAACAGTCTGTATGAAGCTGTGTTTCACGGCGTGCCTCTGGTGGGCGTGCCGCTGTTTGGCGATCAGCCTGATAATCTCGCCCGTATGAGCCGCAGAGGCACCGCCATCGTCCTGGACTTCAACCATCTGACAGCTGAGGAGCTGGCAGAGGCGCTGCACGTCGTCACAAACCAGCCAAGGTAAAGGTGATTGTAGTGTGGAATTGTGTTTGTATATTTCCTGTTAATAGTTTCGTCTTTGTACATTTGGACCTGTTTAATAACATTTTATTTCCTGTCTTTGACCTGATTCCTTCACAGTAAAAGTGCACTACTGTTTAACAGTGAAACTGTTAAAGACTTCCTGTTTGTTTACCATGCACAGCTACAGGACCAACATGAAGCGTCTGTCAGCGGTGCACCGCGACCAGCCAGTAACGCCACTGAGTACCGCCGTCTTCTGGGTGGAGTTTGTGATGCGACATGGTGGAGCTAGGCATCTGCGGTTGGCATCATACGACCTGAACTGGTTCCAGTACCACAGCTTGGACACCGGTGCTGCCCTGCTGGTCGCTTTGATGACCGTCGCTGCTTTGTGGTGGGTGGGGATACGCTGCATCCTGCGGCAGTGCAGACGGCGAGCAGGAAGAGAGAAGAAGGACTGAAGAGAGATTTGACATTTTTGGAGTAATATATAAATAGGTTTGGAGGTTTTAACCATCCAAAAGAACAAATGCAGACATACTCCACAGGTTTGGTTCTTCTTTCATTTTAAGAACACATGACTGCACTGTATTCTCTGCTTCAGAGGAGATGTCCTCAAATGCAGCTTCTCTATTATATTTTCTAATAAAACAAACTGTCTCATCAGTGTAGAGTGATGCCTCTTATTCAGTCTGCCATCTGCCATGAATTTGTGGCTGTGGTCACAAAGCTGTGTCAAAGGTGTGACTGTGAACAGCTACAATGAAAGATGAGTTCACTTTCTGCAGGGTTTTTCTGAGCCAATCCGCTCAGTGTACTTCACACACTGAATGACAAAAGGAGGCATGTGAATTATATTTTTATTTGTAGTGTTACAAACCCCTCTGACGCCTTGGCTTCCAATCACAAATTCATTGTGCTCTCAGCAGTAATTCCTGGTACCACATTTTGTTTTCTAAATTTTATGTTTATTGGTGTGTGGATGGATGTATTGTCGTGTTCTATTTTCTTGAGAGAAAAAAATATGCTCAAATTATGACTTTTCAAAATTAATTGTTAAATGGTTGGTATTTTAAGTTTATTTTACATAGAGCCATGGACCTCTGCCTTTCAGGGCTCAGAGAGACAAAGGATGGCACACGAAAGCAGTAAGCACTTTGTGTGTCATTGTGTGTTAATGTCATTGGTTAAAAAGTCGGGGAAAACCAAAGATTTAGAATTGGGTCCCCATATCTGGCTTGAGTCCAGTATCTGGCTCGCATTTCATATCCTGCACCTATTGGACATCTCTTTCTAACAGGAGATGACTCTTCCCACATCCCCATGGCAACCACCTCTCCTCCTCCGGTCAGGCCTATAGAAGTGAAGCGAGAGAGAGAGAGAGAGAGAGAGTCCTTTATGGAAGTGGGTGGGTGAACAGCGTTCATCGTTCATAATGCACGTCGCACTCTTCAGTTGCAGTTTTTCGGATGTTCATTTGTTATATTTTAATAACACGTTAACTTTTGTCGTGACATGTTTTCATATCATATTTAACATCAGTTTATTTGAAGTGTTTTTCTGCCTCGCTGTCTGGATTATAACATGTAATGTTGCTAATGCACAATAAGATGCTGCTCAGTTAAGCATCATGGTTCATTATATAAGAATGTGATTAATGGTTTAAAACAGCTTTGTTGTTGTCAGCTTCCATTAAACGGTTCTCAAATGTAACTTCATATCTCAGTGTTTCTTAGTGCTAGACCAGTCGATTAGTCAAAAAAAATTTTCCATGGTTAGTCGACTAAGACATTAGTCCAGGAACATCCTTAGTCTACACGGTTCTGTGTTGACTACCACAAGGTGAAGAAGGTCTCACAGTTTGATGCTTGATCCACACGCTGCATGTCCTGCAGCCAATTTGGATGATCTTAAAATGGTGATCCCGAAAATGGTGCTCCAGTTCTTGCCCCTTGGTCGCCCACTGTGACGTATCAAAACTACTCTCTGAGGCAGGTATCCTCACCTGAATATACACCCGGACCAAACTTTAGTTCATCTGAAGAACAATTCATCTTTAATTATTGTGGCTAACAGCTCAGATTTCACTTGGAGACTAAACTACTGTTAAAACTGCATAAATGCACACAACTACTATCATGGAGACTACAGACTGGACCAGATGATGATGATGATGAGGGTCACCTACAGTCATCACTGTGCAGCTCTTCCTGGGAGGAAGCAGGAATATGAAGCGTTACGTGGATGTGCAGGGAGCCACACTTAGTGCGTCCTAACTCCCCAAACAGGAAGTGAAGAAAACAGGGAAACGGGATGAGTTTCATACTTAAAAACATTTAATTTGAAAGCTTTAACAGGAAACACTGCACTACTTTTCAGAATAAAATGAGAAATTGTTACAGAAACATGTTCATAATAAAAGTTTGCTCTTCATTATCTTATGACATCTTAGATCTGAGTACTGGGTCTAGATTGCTTCCACCCTCACGTTGGGCATCACCAGACTCTCAAAACATTTAAAAAAAAATGAACACAGAGGATTGTGGGAAGTCTGGCACTGCACCAGGAGTCACACGCAGGCTGCCAAAATAAAAGTTTTGACCAAATATTTCTTTGTACAAGTTTTCACTTTATTCACATAAAACTGATGATGTCATCACTCAGTTTGTTTGTTTTTAATTCATAATTTTCAACAAAAACAGCAAACCAGTCAAAAACAGTGCGGGCTGCCAAAAAAAAAAAAGAGAGAAAAAAAGAAAAAAAAAAGCAGTGCAGGCTGCCAGGAAGTGATGTCATCAAATCACCTGCGGTACCGCCCCCTCTCCTTGTCCCTCTCTCTTTCTCTGTCTCTATCCCTCACTCGCTCTCGCTCTCTGTCACGGCGCGGGCCACCTCGCTCACGCTCACGCTGACGCTCTCGCTCCCGCCGGCTGCTCACCACTGCCTGCGTCCGCCGCAGGAAGTCGTCCACTCGCATGTCATAGTCGTGCTGTATGATGGAGGAGGGTGAACAAAAAGAAAAAAAACAGTAAGAGGCTGTGCTGATCACTAATCAATACGCCTGATTGGACTGAGTGAACTTACTGGGCTGGACGTGAAGGCGCGGTGCTGCGGTGGTCGTTGCTTATCTCTGAAGCGAGGGGGCGGGGCCTCGTGTGGTGGCAGGGGTGGGTGGTGATGATGGTGGTAGGCCTGGTGAGGGGGAGGCGGTGGGTGGCTGTGGTGGTAGTAGGGTGGATGGTGTGGGGGTGGCTGCTCCACGCCAGGATAGCCCGCCTGATGACACACGTGGCATCATCATTAGATCAGTCTGTAGTGACTTTAATAAAGGCTTTTAATCTGAAAATTCTCAGGCAACATCTTAAAACACAGAAACAGTTTCCTGCTTCCAGGTAAAATGCATGTTTTCATCATCCCTCACAGGCAAGAACAATCGATCAGAACGTGATTAATAACCTATTCATACCAGAGTCTGCCAGGGCGCCGGGGGGCCGACACTGTGGTGGTAATCCCTCATATACTCGTTATAGGACTGAAACAAGAAGGACAAAGGTGAACACAGGTAAGGACACAGCTAAACACAAGAAAACCTCTTCCTGTCTGAAATGCAATGATCTGCATGTGATATTTGTGATGATTACGGGCTGTTTTTAATGGAAAGACTGAATCATTTACAGTTTTATTTGTTCACCCACATCTCTAATCAATACTAATCAGACTAATCAATAAACAATCAGTGAAGTGATAAGTAATCAATGAATTGAAACGTTTGGACCCACCCCATTAAGAAACACGTCTCGTCTTACGCCAGAAAATCGCCTGGAAAGAGAACGGATTCATGAGAAATTCAGACTTTCAAATTTTATTATTATTTTTTTTTAATTCAAGACGAAAGTTTAGATCCTTTAAATCTTCACTTTATCATGTTGGAGGAGTTTCTGATCAATACATGAAGGGACTTGCAGGTGGCCGAGTTTAGCCTGGATGCGGTCCTGTGGGTCTGTGAGGACCTGCCTGGGTGTGATGGTTGGGTATAGACCACCCGCCGTGGCCGTGGTGGTTGGGCGCCAACCACAGGGGCAGACCTCAGCAGTCTGGTCCCAGCAGCCCATGCCGACAACAGGAATGGAGGACGTCACACTTGTGGTATGGAAGGAACCCGAGCAAGCACGTGAGGCTGAGAAGCCAGCTCAGCTTCTGGAACTGGAGTTCGGCACCTGGATGTTTAGGGGTTCCTTCATGGACAAGAGTTGTTTCCTTGACTGAGCACAGAGCAGCACCTCACCCCAAGAAACATCTAGGAGCTCCACTTTAATTCTGCCAAGGGCAACAACAATGTCACCTCGATCTGGCACGATTGGGAAGAATGACCTGCTCGTCCTGAACTTGAGGGGTGTTTTGTTATTGGTTCGTCTATAACGAACACCATGTTTGAACTTAAGGGTGTTCATAATTTTGTAATTGTATCACCAGATCTAAGGCCTCAGGTGAGGAGAGGAGCTGATGTGTGAACTGATCACCACCTGATGGAGAGTTGGATCAGATGAGGATGATGCATTGAGTTGTGGCTGTAAAGAGGTTGGTACCCGTCGTCTGGTAACCCTTTAACCATATGGTGAACAACAGAGGAGCTATCAAGCTGAATAGAGTCCTTTTGAGCTTGCTAGACTCGTATAGTTGGAGGTGGAGGAACACCTCTGAGGATCTCCTAAATTCCTCTGCAAACCATTCCAGAGAGGAAGCAGAGTCTGGAGATCAGGTGCATGACTTGCCCATCACAGTAGCTAAAAGACTTCCTGGATTTGTCCCCAGTTCTTGCATGTCATGCGCCAGTCTTGGTTGAAATACCCACCAGTAACTCTGGACTGACACACTTTGGTGATGATCCCCTTTGTAATAAGGTGAACTAGAAGGATCACAGCTGGGGATATACCTGGAAGGTCTAAGACTGGGTACAGGAGAGTCTGCTGTCAGCTGAAACTCAGATTCAGGAGGAACAGCGCAGCGTTTGTTCTGGATGTCTGGTCAAAGACATTTGAAGATGTGATGAAGTTTCTAATATCAGTCTGATTACATCAACTCAGGGTCTAAGAGGAATACAGAAGAAACCCGATTCCAGGTGTGTCTCACCTGTCCACTGGCTGGCTCCTCAGGTCCTGGATGAACCCTAAAAGCACGACACAAAGTTTGGTTGAGGTGACAGTGAATAGCAAACACTCAGGTAACAGGTGTGTTCAACACCTGCACCTGAAAATCTGGGTCTTAGTCGGCTGTTTAAATGGAAGCTGCACATTAACCTGCTCGCTGGCTGAAGTCTGGTGGACCGTCAGGTCGCGGTCGCTTCCTGCCGTGGAGGTCATACTCTTCAGGTCGACGCCTACATAAACAAGTCCACAGGTAAGACACACACATGCACTCAGGTACACTCCATCTCACACACACACACACACACACACACACACACACAGACAGACCACTACAAACCGGATACTTCCTCAGATCAGACTCCAACACAAGAAGAAATCCCCCACCCTCCCCCAAGTCCGTTTTCACACACAAACTCGAACTGCAACACAATCAGCCGCTCTGTGTGGTTCACCTGTGACTTCACCTGACGCTTACAGCAGGTAAGCGTCACCTGGACAAATCAGATATCACACAGGTCTAGTAACAGAAAGCTTTGAGGATAAAGACAGACTGATTTGGACATTTACACCTTCAATTTGTGCGTGGAAACAGCTTCTTTGTCTGTAACATGATGTTTAAACGCAAGAAAGTCAGACGCTGATAAAGACCCTGTTCCGGCCCTATTCAAATCCTGTTCTGATCCTATTCCAGATCCTATTATGAACATGTTTCAATCCTGTCCTGGTCCTATTCTAGCCCTGTTCAGATCATGTTCCATTCCCATTCTGGCTGAATTAAGGTGCTGTTCCTGCCCTACTCTGGTCCTTTTTAGGCCCTGTTCTGATCCGGTTCCAACTATATACCGATCCTATTCTCATTGTGCTCTGGGCCTATTCCAGTGCTGTTCCAAATTTGTTTTGGCTTATTTTTAATCAACTGATGTCCACACAGAATCTCCTGTTTTAAAAGTTTCACTCTGAAGGATGAAAACAGAATCTGCAGTCTGACCAAGTCTCTCTCTCTCTCTCTCACACACACACACACACAATTTAAAAAAAAAAAGAACAAATGAAGAAGAACCTCTGAAAGGGACAACATACCGCTTCTGCTGCGTATGAGGGAGGGGCAACACTTTAAAAAAAAAAAACAGTTTTTCTCCTCATCAGTCCATGTTAAAGGCTTTTATAAACCCTCTTATTTTGAAAAGGTGAGGGGTGATGATGATGATGGTGCAGTCCTGTCAATCATACACAAAGCCCCGCCCCGTGAGCCCTGCCCCACCCCTTCCAGACCAGCAACAGTCCTTAAACAGAAATGACAAACTGCGTCGTCTTTCTGTCGCTCCGTCCATTCGATTAATTTTATGCTCACTTTATTCGTCCATCAGAGCGACACACACACACACATCGACAACCAGCTCGCCATCCTGTGTGTGTGTGCCAGTGGGAGGAGAGGGGAGGAAGAGGGGAACATGACTGTCCTTTCATGTGGGGGAGGGGTCACTTTTTCAGTCCAGGGGTATTTTTTTTTTCAGTCTTTTAGGCACCTGCAACTTTACCTCATACAACCAGAGGGAGCCCCGCCCCCAACACACCACACTTCTCTTTGGATACAGTCCAGAGGCCTTGCCACAACACACAACCTTACTGGATACAGTCCTGAGGCCCCTCCCCTTTAGACTCACCACACCTCAGTGGATACAGTCCAGAGGCCCCGCCCCCTCCTGACCAACCTGTAAAACCCGGTCAAACACCTGAAACAGTCCATTGGGGTCTCAGATGCTCCCTTACTTCCTTTTTTAGTTCTACCTCGCTCACCCTCCCACCCCCTCCTTCGTCAGTCCAGCCAGTGACGCTTGTCCTTTCTGCTTTTATTCTGAAAGGGTCAGCTTCAGTCCAGCTAAAAATTTTCACTTTTTAACCTCTGAAGTATCAAAATCCTGCGAAGACAAAGAGCTTCAAAGGACAAATTTAACAACAACAAAACTTCAGCTCAGCTACGTAAAGACTACAGACCTAAAAAAAAAAACAAAACAAAATTCAGCTAAAAATTACAAAATAAAACAAAGAGATGTTGCTCAGCTCACACTTCAAAGGAAATGAAACTCAAGTGAAGGGTTAAACTTCCTCTGTGACGTCAGCTGTTTAACGCTTGTCGAGGACTTCACTTCCTGCCTGACTTTAACACCTCGACCAAAGATGCAGAGTGAGGCTTCGCTCCGGGAAGCTCCAGACTGGAAAAATAACAACCAGAGAGCCAGCAACGCGAGCCACGGGAAAGCTAGCCGCCAGCTAAGGGCAGCGGCTGTCTCCGTCGTCCAGCATCAGGTGGCGCCGTGGTCACAGCAGAAGAAGAAGAACAGGAAGCGGGAGGAGGAGCTTGATGATTGGCTAACCTTCCCGGTTCACGTTGTGGTGGTCGGCCTCGAGGCCGCGGCTCCGATGGTGTGCGACGTTTGTGACGAATGCGGCGAGCCACCTGGTGAATGTCCACGCTCTCATCCAAAGGAAACAGGGCACAGAGCTGAGCACCAATGTCCGGCTGGATCTCCTGAAAGAGACACAGATTTGCATCATGTGATAGAACAGGAAAACGTGATTCGTAATAGAACAGTCAGCTGACCTGGCCGTCACGTCCAATTTTCACCGGCTTGTGTTCGTTCCAGGGGTTTGAGAGGTGGGCGGTCTTAATGAAAGGAAGCTCCCTCCTGAAAAGGAAATAAAAAAGAAGACAACACTGAATGAAGTAGCCAGCAAGCAGCAAGCAAGGGCATCAGCGGTGAACCATCACACAACACGTGAACTACATCTATGCAGAGGTGGCTCCAGAGGTTCACACCTTCAGCAAACGTCATGAGGCAGAGCCCCAAAGTCCACTAACCCAAAAACACAGAGCAGCCTGCTGTGGCGACTCCTGGCGTGAAAGAGGGGGGAGCTAAACATAGCTCAGTGAATCTATGTAGAAGTCAAACGACTGGCCGACGCGGGGTGCATTAAAAGTGATGTGCACGCACATTTATAGAAACGTGCACGTTGATTTCACTCTACATCAAACCAGGGGAGCAACTCTAGAGTACATCTTACTTTCAGGTTGCAGGAAGTATAAGCTAAAGCAGCGGTCCCCAACCTTTTTTGCGCCACGGACCGGTTTATGTCCGACAATATTTTCACGGACCGGCCTTTAAGGTGTCGCGGATAAATACAACAAGATAAAACTAGTACCGGTACCGAAAAAAAGAAGATTTATTCATAACGCACGTGAAAAGACCCAGGAAAACCGAGTTAACGATAAAAACGATAACAAAATAACGCTAAAAACCGATAAAAACCCTGAAAACCATACATTTCACACCCGAGCCTCAACTCTCGCAGCCCGGTACCAAATGACTGTGGCCCAGGGTTTGGGGACCGCTGAGCTAAAGAGCTGACCTAAGACACAGACAAACAGCAGCCAGCCAGCCAGGGATTTCACGTTTCACAGGTAGTTATTTTTAAAGCCAATATCCTCGATCTGTTGGTCAAAGCCCAGAATCGACCCAATACCCTCTGCCCCCAGTTCATCCATAAAATTTTTTGTCAATAAAATTTCAAATCAGAACCGGAGACCGAGATCAGTCTAGGAGAAGTCAAACACTCACCAGGAACCAATAGAAACAGAGTATAAACCTACTGGATGGAGCTGTTTACCTGCAGAGCCAGTCAATCTTAAACACTCCTCCCAGCATCTTGGCATTCATTCCAGCAGGGAGCACCCAGTGGATCGGAGAGCCACCATGATGAGACTCTGACGCCAAACGAGCGAAACCTGAGGACAAGACAAAACAGACCAATCAGAGTTAAGAAGAGGATAAGGTGAATAAGGTGAACAGACAAAGACATATGATACTGAAAACCTCTTTTCCTCATACCTTGGAATTTTCCACTTTCCCTCACAGAGAAGATGAGAACGACGCTCCTAGCTGAGCGGAAGGCAGCATTGAGCTTCTTCTCGTTCACCGGCAGTGTCGACCAAACACCCTGTAAACACCAGAAACACCAATTCATCCTCAGCTATCAGAACAAAACGGGGAACAACACAGGGGGGTGACAGGGAACAACACAGACAACGCCTGAGGATCGATAGAGAATGACAGAGGGAAAATCGAGGGGAACAACAAGGAATGACACAGGGGAGAACAGGCAACAACACGAGGAATGACACAAACTACACTGGGGAAGACACGGGAAAGAGAGGGAACAATGAGGGGAACAACACAAGGACACGGGGTGACAACAGAAAATGACAGTTGGAACCATGAGGGAGGTGACATGGATTGAAAAGGGGAACAATGGGGAACAGCGAGGGGGTCAACGTGTACCTTAGCTTTGGCCAGCGACACATTCTCATGGTTGTTGCTCTTAATGAGAAAAAATCGGGCATCTCTCAGGATATAACGCAGCTTGCTTGTTGGATCTACAACAACACAGGAGGTAGCTGTAATCTGATTACTTCCAACTCAGTAAAGGTATAAATGGAGTAACGAGTAAGTAACCATGGAATATTGTCCTTACTCTCCATGCCTTTACGAACTGCACGGACCGACGATGACAGCTTCTCCCGCTTCTTTTCTGAACCTTTCAAAATAAAAGCAGTAATTTCAAACATTACGTCATCTTTTTTTTTTTTCTCCTTGAAGAGAAAAATGTACATTACTATCTCTATGGTTACCTGAGGCCTCAGAGGCGGAGCCTGAGTGTGCTGATTCGCCATCATCAGAGAAGCTGACAGAGGAGGCGGAGCGTGAATCACCAGCCTCGCTACGTGTGTCATAGTCATTGCCCTCACCACCACGACGGTCGTACTCTTCTTCTTCCTCCTCATCCTCCTCCTCCTTCTCTCCTTCCTCTTCCTCCTCCTCCTCCTCTTCTTCTTCCTCCATACCTTCTTCCTCCTCTTCCTCCTCTTCCTCCTGGTCATCTTCCTCTTCCTCCTCTACGTGGGAAGCAGCGGGGGAGGAGCTGCCCGATGCTTGTTCTGAGCCGTATTCTGCTCCTGTCTCATCCTCTGATTGGTTCTCCTCCTCATGGGGGGAGGGACTTGCTCGCCGCTCATCACGGCGTAACTTCTGAAGACAAACAGGAAGTTAATACGAATGGCTGGAAACCGTTAAAAGTATATTTTTAGTGTAAGCAGTACCTGACTCAGACCCTCCAGGCCTCTCTGGGACTCTCGCCGTCTTGCGTCCTCTCCTCCACGGCTCCTCGTCACCTCTCGGGCCCCACGTCTCCCCTTTCGTTCATCATAATACTCATGACGGTAAGTGGTGGAGTGCCGGCCGCGAGGGCTCGACGCCTTTTTAGAGGAGGACAGAGATGGCCCTGGAGCTCTCTTATTGGAGGATGATGACCTAGAAGTACCGTGGCCGGACGAGGAGCGGAGCCTCTTTAGATCCTGGCTGTCAGAACGCTCGCTCTTCCTCTTCGTACCTGACAGACAGCGATGAGGGCTTAATAA